GGGCGAGCTGAGTGCCAAGGCTGAAGAATTGAGTCGTGCCGAGAAAGGCAGAATGGCCGCTATGGTTGAAGCGGCGACCCTAGAAGATGCCCTCCGCGTTTGTAGGTCCGAGCGGGATAATGAAGAGGAGACATCGGCGCTCAAGGTGGCGAGGTTAGAAGAACGGATCCAGGGTTTGGAGGCGGAGTTGTCTGGGTTAAACGAGCAGGTCGTTGTCTTGAGGGCTGAGGAGGCGCGATGGCAGTCATAGTCGTCCACATCTCGTACTTCCACCGATCCCGGTGTGCCGAGGGAGTTGTATGAAATATGGGTTCATGCCGAGGCTCAACTTGACGTGTATAAATCTTTAAAGGATGTCGGGAAAGTTTCTGAAGCAAAGCTTGAGGGCGTCTGTGTCAAGGTACGTGCAGCTCGTGAAGCTTGTGGTTACGACCCTGGTACGCCTGGCGGGGATGAGGATGATGACGCCATGGATAGGCTTACCTCTGATCCTTGGTATGATGATGAGTACGCCGATGGGGATGATGTGGCGTGAAGCTGTTGTACTTAGTTTTTGTTTTGCTTTGCTATTTTTGTGAGGGCGTCTTTGTGCCCTTTGTAGAAAGTGTTGTAATTTGATGGTTGAAATGGAACAGTTCCCTTTTTGTTATGTATTTCTTGATTCCCGTTCTCTTTTCTTTTTGCTATGTGGGGAAGCCCCTGATTTTTCGACTGTTTGTATATGGTTGTTATTGGTTGAGTCGAACATAGACTGACCTGAGGTTTAATTTAGCTCGGATGAGATTGAGGTTTGATGAGGTTGAACGTCGAACAATTCGAGCGTGATCGAATGTGAAGTAATTCGAGCGAGGTCGAATGTAAAACAATTCGAGCGAGGTCGAACGTAAAACACTTCGAGCGAGGTTGAATGTAAAATAATTCAAGCGAGGTCGAATGTAAAATAAACCGAGCGAGGTCAAATATAAAACAATTCGAGTGAGGTCGAATGTAAACAATACGAGCGAGGTCGAATGTAAACAATCCGAGCGAGGTCGAATGTAAAACAATTCGAGCGAGGTCGAATGTAAAATAATTCGAGTAAGGTCGAATATACAATAATTCGAGCGAGGTCGAATGTAGAATAATTCGGTCGAGGTCGAATGTAAACGATTCGAGAGAGGTCGAATGTAAAATAATTTGAGCGAGGTCGACTGTAAAATAATTCGAGCGAGGTCGAATGTAAAATGATTCAAGCGAGGTCGAATGTAAAATAATTCGACCGAGGTCAAATGTAAAATGTAAAGTGACTTAGTGGAGTGCAAAGATGCTGCTTTATTTCATTCATTGGAGAATATTACATATTTCTGTTTGTTCCATACATATATTGGAGAAGTTCCAGTGTACCTTGTCCCTTCATCGTTCGGCCAGGAGAAGTAGTCGGCAGGCGGGGCGATGAATTATACTTGAACTTCGAGACGTCCCCTTCGTCGCCTCATTAAAAATCTACCCGAGAAAACCCAATTGGGACAAAACCCGGGTGAGGGAAAAAGAGTACGACTTGGAGGGCATCCGTTTTTAGAAGTTGAAATATTTGAGGTGGGTGACGTTCCAATTGTTTTGTAGTAGCTTTCCCTCCATTGTTTCTAGTTGGAATGATCCTTTTTTTGCTGCTGCCGTGAATTGTATGGCCCGTCCCAATTGGTTCCAAGTTTACCTTCTCTTGAATCTTTGCTCGCCTGTGTTTTGGCCTTGAGTACGTAGTCTCCGATTTTGAGTGGTCGTACTTTGGCTTTTTGGTTGTAGTACCGTTCTGCTTGTTGTTTTTGGGCTATCATTCTTATGTAAGCCATGTCTCTTTGCTCCTCTGCTTCGTCGAGGTCTTGTTTCATGTTCTCGTCGTTACTTGGTCAGCTTTCATTGGAGTATCTCAAACTAGGTTCCCCGACCTCGACTAGTATCATGGCGTCAGTCCCATAGACTAGTGAATATGGCATTTCTCTTGTGCTTGTTTTTGGCGTGGTGCGGTATGCCCACAGTACTTCTGGTAGTAGTTCCGGCCACAGTCCCTTGGCGTCCTCAAGATTTTTCTTCAAGATATTTAGTATTGTTTTGTTGGAGGATTCGGCCTGGCCGTTACCGACATGGTGATATGGCGTGGAGAGTATTCGCTTGATGTGCCATTTTTCGAAGAATTCGTCGGTCTTTTTTTCGATGAATTGGGGTCCGTTTTCACAACTGATTTCTTTGGGATGCCAAAGAGGCATATGATGTTTCTCCATATGAATGTGATAACTTCTTGTTCGTGTATTTGGGCGAACGCACCTGCTTCTACCCACTTGGAAAAATAGTCAGTTAAAACCAAAAGAAATTGTATATTACCTCGCCCTGCTGGAAGGGGTCCGACAATGTCCATTCCCCATTTGATGAATGGCCATGGCGATGTGACCGAGCGGAGGTGCTCGCCTGCTTGGTGTATCATAGGAGCGTATTTCTGGCACTGCTCGCACTTCTTGACGTAGTCGGCGGCTTCCTTCTTCATGGTTGTCCAATAATAACCAGCCCGAATGAGGCATCTGATGAGGGCCCAGTTGCTGGTATGGGCACCGCACTGGCCTTCGTGTACTTCCTCGAGGACGCGTCTTGTTTGGTTCGGCCCTAGGCATTTCGCAAAGGGGCCTCCAAACATTCTTTTGTATAGGTCGTGGTTTATGATGTTGTATTTGGCCGCCTGCATTCGAAGTTTTTTGGCTTCCTTTTTGTTTGATGGGAGTACTCCCTCCTGTAAATATGTTATAATACGGTTGCGCCAGTCGCAAGTCAAATTTACAGAGTGTACCTCAAGTTGGTCTATTGACGAGTGAAGGAGGGTGACCACGTTTTCCCTTGTAATATTTTTGGTGGTCGCTGCTAACTTGGCGAGGCCATCTGCCTTGATGTTTTGTGCTCGAGGTATCTGGTCAAGTCGACATTCATCAAATTCTGGTAGCAGTTTATGAATTTCTGCCTGGTACCTTTGTAGCCTCTGCTCTTTGATTTGGAAAGTCTGTGTGACTTGGTTGACAACGAGTCATGAGTCGCATCTAAGGACGACTCGTCGTGCTTTGTATTTGAGAGCTAGCTTTAATCCTGCAATTTCGGCCTCATACTCGGCCTCATTGTTAGTCATATCGGGGCACCGTATGGATTGGCGGATGACTTCGCCTGTTGGGACCTCGAGTACGAGTCCCAGTCCAGATCCTCACACGTTAGATGCGCCATCGGTGTATAGGACCCATAGGTCGGGTAGCCTGGGCGAGGTACGAGAAGTTTCCTGCTCGACCTCGGCATTATTTTGGCACTGAAATCGGCGACGAAGTCGGCGAGTACCTGCGATTTTATCGTTGTTCGCGTCTGATATGTTATATCGTGCTCGCTCAATTCTATGGCCCAATCTCCCCGATAGTTCGGGTTTATGTAGGATGCTCTATAGGGGAAAGGTCGTTATCACCGATATGGGGTGGCATTGAAAATAGGGTCTAAGCTTTCGTGAAGCTATAACTAATGCCAAGGCCAACTTTTCGAGGTGGGGTACCTCGTTTTGGTGATGACCAGAGTTTTTCTAATATAATAGATTGGAGATTGGGTACCTTTATTTTCACGGACCAATACTGCGCTTACCACGACCTCTGATACGGCCAAGTATATCAGGAGGCGTTCGCCGGGTTCTGCTTTGGCGAGTAGCGAGGGAGAGGACAAGTACGCCTTTACTTCTCTTAAGGCCTCGATGAATTCTGCATTTCACTGGAGCCTGTTGTCTTTTTTGAGCACATTGAAGAATTTGTGGCATTTGTCAGAGGATCGTGAGATGAACCTCGACAGGGCAGCTATGCGGCCTGTCAATTTTTGCACTTGTTTCTTGCTAGTCAATACTTCATATGGCCTTGATTTGGTCGGGGTTGACCTCAATGCCTCTTTCTGATACCAAGAAGCCGAGGAACTTGCCCGAAGTTATGCCGAAGGCACATTTTTTGGGGTTCAGCTTCATGCCGTATTGCCTTAGTATACCTAAGGCCTCTTTCAGGTGGTCGATGTGGTCTTCCTTCTTTTTTGATTTGACCAACATGTCTTCCATTGTTTTGCCAAGTTGGTCCTTGAACATCTTGGTGACCAACGTTTGATATGTCGCCCCTGCATTCATCAACCTGAATGGCATGACTCTATAATAGTACGTTCCCTGATGGGTGATAAAAGTAATCTTTTCCTGGTCCTCCTCCTCCATAAGGATTTGGTTGTAACCTGAGTAGGCGTCCAAGAAGCTTAACAACTCGTGCCCTGCTGTTGCGTCAATGAGATGGTCGATATGAGGCAACGGAAAGGAGTCTTTCAGGTAGGTTTTGTTTAGGTCCGTGAAATCCATGCACATCCGCAACTTCCCGTTTTTCTTTTTTACCATGTCTTCGTTGGCGACCCATTGGGGATATTTTGATTCTCGGATGGAACCATTAGCAAGTAGCTTATCCACCTCATCACTGAAGGCCTCGTTGATTGCGGCATTGAATTTTCTCCTTACTTGCCGTACTAGAGGTAGAGTGGATCGACATTCAACTTGTGTGTGGCAACGTCTTTGGTATGCCTGGCATATCTGCATGGGAGAAAGCGAACAAATCGGCATTGTCAATTAAAAATTTATGAAATCTACTTGGTTCTGAGAGTTTATGGCCGATGTAAGCCTTTTTGTTGTTGTCGTTGTTGTCTAGTTAGACGGGATCGAGGTCTTCTATCGTCGACCCTGCTGCTTCTACGACGTCGGGGTCCCTGATGACGTCTTTTGGTTCGTCGACTTTGGCCCCCGACTTTGGTAATTGCTACGCTTCTGAGCCTGTTCCCTTTAACTGTTGAGTGTATGTGCAATCTTGAGCGATGCGATAGCATTCTTGGGCTGTGCGCTATTCGCCTCGGATGCTGAATATCCCCCATGGAGTAGGGAACTTGATTACTTGATACAGGCTGGACGGGATGGCCCTTATAGTGTGTATCCATGGTCACCCTATGATGGCGTTGTAAGCTATGTCCTGGTTCATGATACGGAACGTTGTTTCCAAGGTGACGCTCCCAGCTAGAACGGGTAGAATTATCTCCCTTGAGGTTCGCTCAACTGCATTGTTAAAACCTGTTAGTGTTGTGCAATGTGGTACTATCTTGTCCTCGAGTCTCATTTGTGTGAGAACTCGAGGATGGATAATACACGCACCGCTTTCGTCGTCTACCATTATTCTTTTTACATCATTATCCGAAATACGTAAGGTAATGACAAGAGCATCGAAGTGAGGAAAGGTCAAACCATGGGTATCTAACTTATCGAAGATGATACTGTCTTCGAGGTCATCATATTGTTCGTGGGTGATCGATCGCTTTAGTTTATGTGTGGTGGTAAACTTCACGTGGTTGACTGCTGCTTCATCGCCCCCACTGATGATCATTTGGATGGTGCGGGCGGGGGAGGGTGGTTTTTGAGAGCCTTGGTGTTGTTCTCGTCCGCGACCGAAGTTGGCTCGTCCTCGGTCACCCATCAGCTCCCTCAGGTGCCCTTGGTGAAGCATGTTCACTACTTCTTGCCGCAGGGCTATGCAGTCCTCGGTCTTGTGGCGTCGCTCCTGATGGAACTCACAGAGGACATTCGACTTTCTGGTGTTTGGGTCGGATTTCATCTTCTGTGGCCATTTTACCTTCGGGTCGTGTTTCTCTAGTGCGTACACTAATTCTGAAGGGGAAACACAAAAATTGTGAGCAGATAATATTGGAGGCATACCTCTTTCGTTTCGCTGAGTCCCTGTATGCGGCCTGGATGGCCCTTCCGCGTGGCGAGGGGATGATGGGATGGCTATTATGACATATAGTTGATGCCTGTCTCGGTTGAGGCGTGGACCTGACTGGTCTCTTCGATCGTCATTAGGACGGTCTTTCCTCGACTCCGTTTGGACTGACATTAACCGTTAGGTTGGACCGTTAAGGTCGTCCTCGTCTGCTCTCACCTCGGTGCAGTAGGCGTTATGAATTTCTTCCCAAGTGGTGGGAGGGTATTTCATGAGCCTGCTTAGTAACTTTCTGGTTGCTCTCGACCCATTCCTGTTCAACCCATTTTGGAAAGTTGCCACCGACATCCCTTCTGATTCATTTGGTAAGCTCACTCTTACTCTGTTAAATCGAGCGAGGAAGTCCCTGAGTCCCTCGCCAGGCGATTGCCTAACGGCGAATACATCATTCACCCTGGCCTCCACCTTCTTAGCCCCGACGTGGGCGGTGACGAACTTGTCGGCCATTTCTTCGAACATTCTTATTGAGCGTGATGGTAATTGTGAGTACCAGGTTAAGGCTCCCCCCGTTAGGGTCTCGCCAAACTTTTTCAGTAACACTGATGGTACCTGTTCCTTTGAAAGCTCATTGCCTTTTACCGCTGTGACGTAATGAATGATGTGATCTTCGGGGTCTGTGGTGCCGTCGTATATCTTTAAATACGGCGGCATTTTGAAGGTCTTGGGTATGGCTTGCGGGGCTGCCGCCTCGCTATAGGGTTGTTCGACGAATCGGCCGACATTCCATTTTGATAGCAGTTTTAGGGCGCCCGGTATCTTATTGACCCTTTCTTGATGTTCCCTCATCTGGTCGCGGAGTGCTTTGTTCTCGTTTTTCATTTCTTCCATTTTCTTTAGAGTGGCTTCAAGTGCATCATTACCTGCATCAACAACGGTGTGAGTGTTACCTGTTGGGGGAGCGGGTTGCTCGCTGGTGGTCGCTGTGGTATCCGTTGGCGCGGCGTTTCTATTCTCCCTTTGAAAGGGTTTGTTGAGTATGTTATTTAGAGTACTTGTCAGCCACTCCTCCAGTAAGTTTTTCACTGCTGGTAGCTTCCTCAGCTGTGGACGTGGAAGCTCCCCTTTCGCATGAAGCAGTTACACTTCCATGAGGGGGAGGAGAATCACTCCGCCTGGGTGTAGCACTCGGCGTCACATTCTCCACATCTTCTCTGTCATCCTCGTTGATGGTGTTCAAAATATTGGTAGTGACACCCACTATTGCTTTCTGTCTTTCATCTCCTTTTCCTGCCATTGTTAGTTCGTGCAAACTAGGAAAAGATGGATGATGTTGTTGTTATTTGTGTTTTTTTTAATCTAGAAAGAACTAAAATTTTAACTAGAAACTCCCCACAGGCGGCGCCAAATTGTTTGATCAAAAAGTGTTAAACCTTTTGTTAAACTAATTAATGATAAGATAGAGGATAAATCCTAGTTAAATATAATACGATCTAGACAAAAAACTTGAACAAATCCGTGGGATGAGACCACGTTTAAGAGTAATAAAGATCAGGCACGTGTTCAATGGTTATCAATGAATGTTGTAATAAGAACATGCAATAAATATGGACAATGGTAATAAATGTAATAAAGAGAAATTTATCACCCAAATGTTTGGTGATTCCCCTTCGTGATAGCAACTTGGGACTAAGAAAAATGAAGATGGATAAAGAATCTTTGGATCTTGTGAACAAAGGATGAATAACGTGTGTAAAGTTATATAATCAGTGAACAAGACAATATTTGTATATTCTTTCAAGTCAACTCTTTACAAAGTGCTCTTATCAAGAAGTGAAGATCCCTCTTTTGTTCTCTATCTCTTCCTATTTATAAGGGATATTCCCAAGAAACCCTAAAAAGTACAACATAAGGAATATCCAAAGGAATATTCCTTGTGTCCATTTCTAAACATATCCTACCGTTACTTCTTTACTCCAGTTGCTCGTTCTTGGCAATAATCCTTCTGAAGATGACTCCTTGCTACTATGACGTAGTTGACCCCGTCCTCGACCCTGTTTATCTATAGTTATCATGTCGCCAAATTTAGACCAATACAACCACTACTATTCTTTCATGACATAAGATATCCAAGATATTCTAATAATGCTGACCAAATGGCAACATTTTAGGAGATCGTATAAAAACTTTCATATAAATGGAGTATTTATGTGTGTGATGCATGTATATAGGTCAAATCTATTTTTCATTCAAATATATTTAATTTTAAACTTCGTCATTAATAATTGGTGTTAACACAAAATCTGAAAATAGAGATAAACATAATCTCAAAACCTAGACTTAAAGATTCAAGTTCTGGTTGTTGGATAGTGGATGGGTCACTTTCTTCTTTTCTTGTTTTATAGGAGGCTAAGTAGATAAAAAAAAAATGAATTTCCCATTTCTCAAAACTATCTATTGGAAAATGAATAAATGATAGCATATGGCGTTAGGCCATCCACAAAGGGAAAATGTGCAAAAGAAAGATGGGTAATGGGTTGAGTGTTGAAAATGAAACCTACTAATTAACATTAATTAGTTCTCCTACCATGCCATACCGCCAACTACTAGTGTCATTCCTATTCCTATGATTAGAGGCGGATTCATGATTTAAACCTTATGAGATCAGCCTTTAAGATTTTTAGCATTGAACTCATTATATTTTTTAAGCTATGAGTTCAAATTTACTATTTGTTGCAATTTTAGTAAATTTTACACATATATTTTTTTCTGCATCGAAAATTATGAATTCAGTTGAACCCGTCACCTATACGCTACATATGCCCCTGCCTATAAAAAGAATATAGGTCCACAAATTATCAACGACAAATTAATTATGCTAGTAGGTTTGAATACCTAATGACTAATGTCTGTCTATACCTAAGAAAAAGAAATGTAGTGGTATATATGGCCAAGAATTTTCTTCCGAGAGTAAAAAGAAAAATACTGGAGATTTTTCTTTAAATATTGCGAAGACCTTTCTTGTTATTAATTAGTACTTTTTACATTGCTCATCTTACTGTTACTGTTGCTTCAATTTTTTTTAAATACTTGTTTTTGGGGGTTTCAAAAGAAAAATTGTAAAATTTGTTTTTCAACCAATACGATTAAAACAAAAGTTGTCGACGTTGTTAAATAATGAAGCAAACTGATGATCAACTATTTATGTTTTCCCCTCCCTAGGGTGTGGTGGTGTTGGTTGGTTGGGGGGGGGGGGGGAGTTTGTGTGCAGGAGAAAGAAAAAGAAACATAAACTACTTGTGTAACCAAAAAATAGGAATTTGGTCAAAGGCTATTTTTAGAAGTATTCGGGTTACTGATAATTAAGAAAATCAATATTCTTGCAGTAAGAAAGGAAATTAGAATAGCAAAGTAATCAATAGAAAGCAAAAGTAAATAGTTGTATTCCAATAATAATCAGAACGTGTCCATACAAATGATATTTATTTTCCTAGTACAACGTCTTTTCCTTTTATGATCGAATCATTATGAGCATGAATGACATTAATGAAACGTTATAATTGGTAATCGTAACTGTTTCGTGAAGATTCTGTAACGTTTGTAATCATCCATGCTCATTAATTGAAGACCAATGAATCTGTCCTTTTTATTGTCTTGGTTCATTCCACCGGTGCCTCTTCAAATCGTTAAAGAGACTCAAGCAACCGTTTCTTCTCGTCTCTTAAACGTTTTGCTCGTACCTATTAAGACTCACGTCTTTTTTATTACTCTTCTCCAGCTGTCGCTTTTCTAGTGATCCACATGTCTTGCCATGCCAGCCACATAATTAATTCCACATGTAATATTTATTTTTCCCAATAAAAATAGTCCCCCCACTTACCAATTATTCAGCAATTGAATATTTGGGAAGTGGATCTCATTTAAGGCGGGAATTTTTGCCGTGATTTCACACGCTCCATTGTGCATTCTTCGAAGCCAATGCATCGTATGTCACTTCCAATTAATGCATATGACATGTGGCAGTCATCGATTGGCTTTGCAACTCTTCAGCGGGTTTTAGGGCTTTTTTGCGGCTGCATCAGTCATGAAGTGACAGTTTTTATAATGACATTTCCATCATTACCTTTTTTGCATGACAGTTGCTTCTGCATATAAATACATCCTTTGCCTTCACTTTCACGAAAAAATTTCTTCAGTGTTCTTTATTGACAACTTGTTCTTGTTCTTCAATACGTTCTACTCCTTCATACAACTATGTCTTCTTCAAATCCTGATCCTCGAAAAGTTCTCATAGTAGACAAACTTCCCCTTTCTTCTGCTCCTACCGGAAGTAGGAGAGGTGGTAGGTTGCGTAGTTTAGGGTCAGTTTCTGTACGTGGTTCTTCTTCACAACCTAGTTCTACTTGTCACACCTCCTTTTTCACTACACCCGCAAGGGCATAAAGGAGTTTTTCCACTTAAAGGACAATCGGAACGGGATTTATTATTAAGATTCAGAGTCGCCACTTGGGAGATTAAATAGTGTCCCAAGTCTTTAGAATCCCGAACCGAGGAAATTATGACTCTGTTAACAGTCCGCGAACCAGAAATCCGGGTAAGGAATTATGTTAATCGGGAGAAGGTGTTAGGCATTCCCGGGTTCCGTGGTTCTAGCACGGTCGCTCAACTGTCATATTTGGCTTATTTATTTGATTTTAGTACATGTTTTTGGATTTATGTCTTTAGCTTTGAACTGCTTTTATTATTATTGTTTATTTTAAGAGAATTGCAACGTTATGAAAACACGTCTCGAACCACGTCACATAAATGCACCCGTGGTTTTTGAAACATTTCGACTTCGTTGAGATTTGGATTTGGGTCACATAAATGTGCACTCGTATTTAGGAATGTAAAATTATTTAAAGTGCGTGCCTAAAGAGACTATCGCGTTATTATCTTTGGGGAAGGCCGTGAAATTCGCTAAACGGCCCATCCCGAAGTCTAGGTATTTTGTATCAGCATTTATCGAGGGGCCCGCAATTTGTTTGTTTATTTAACGAGGCTCATCTCGTTATATTAAAGGGCAAACCTAAAGCAATCTATAATTTTCTGTTTTTATTTGTCTCTAAATAAAAGAAAATGTCCTAATAATTTTGTCACTGGACTAATTGGTAATTTCGCACTACAGTCCAGCCACT